AGCAAAAAATCAATTTTTCTCTCCATATTATTCTATAATTTTATAAATAAATTTTTTCTATGAATATCTCAAATCACATATCATGCATAATAGTCATTTTACCTTATTATACATATAATTACTTTCAAAGATATTTTTTCTCATTCTCATCGGTCAAGTTTAGTACATGTTGTTAAGAGATTTTCATCTCAACTTTGATTTTTTCGTGGAAAACTCTTAATTTTTCATTTGGAAAAGGAAAAGACTCCCTTCATTAAAACTTAATACATGTAATCTTTTAATATAATATATCAGATGGTTAATCGCGATGTTTGCATCTATTAGATTGGGCGATTGATTAGGACCGCTTGGCGCTATTTTTTCTTTTTTTCTTTTTAATTTCCAGTGTGACATTCATTTTCAAACTGTGAAATGAAACTTGGCCTTCAGTCTCCAATTCTTCATTAAATTCAAATTTTCTTCCATTGATTTGGATAGTTCTTGGGCCCCAAGTCCAAATGATGAGATTGAATGGAAAGTTCAGTTTTCCATCCTCATCACGACCTTTCTTTTATGCCCTTGTCCTATGTTTCTTATGGAGGACGCCTCTTTAATTCTAAAATATTCTATGTTCAAGTTATTTTGCCAACAAGATTATTCCTTCCCTAATCTAATCTCGTTCCTTAACCGGTCCACTCAACCTAAACTAATCCCGTCACTCCCTACTTTAGCGCTACAGGATTGACAAAGTTGGAACCCATACATTATCTTATGGAGTCTAATTCTTCTATATACTTTACAAATACGAGTTCTAATAGTAAAATACACCACTGTGGCAATAATCATTGCCTAAGAAAGTTGTAGCCAGTTGGCCTTTTAGGTCCAAAACTGACATCGGCTCTTGATTTTGACAGAATATTGTGCAAGGATATTACGGCAACATGCTTTTGACGTGACTAAATGCGAAAGAGATTGGAAGGAAAGTTGGATAGGAGAGTTGAATCCCTACAAGATAATCAAAGACCAAAGTCGCACATAGGCATATTATTATGTTAGGAAAAATCTGGGAGGGGCAACCCTAGGATCCCTTTTGAAGGTCGGTCTCACACCTACCATGGAGCGTTCGGCATTATACCATAGCTATTTCGCTCCAGTCGTGATTTGAAGGTCCGCCGCACCTTAACTAAGACGTCATATTTCTCTCTACATGAGATACATGCTACAGTTAGGCAATACAGCACGAGTAATTCAAAGATTCACCCATGACGTAAATCGAACTCATGGCCTCTTAAAAGATGGATGGCCCTTTTACTATTAAGCCAACCACCTTTGTGATACACGCCACACACACATAGCAGCATAGAAAAGTTGGATTTAAAGCGAGGAAGTTCATTGTACCCGGCTAACCAAAATTGGCAGCAAAGCGAAGGAATCTCTGGTCTCTTTTTTTCCCTTATGATAGGCACATGAGCCTAATCAACAAGCTGACAACTTTTGCAAGGCCACGATTCTAAGGGTTACCCCATCCATCCGCAGCGCACGCAATGCATGCCTCTCCCTGGCCAACCCTTTGGACTCTCAGTAATTGCAGGTCAACTCTTCCCCTTAATTCGTTTAATCTCCATGACCTAGCATTCATCTTCCTTGACCGAACTGGTATTGACCGTGGGATATGAATCGAAAAGGAGCCTTTTGAATCTTGGAATCTCCATGTGAACACAGCTTATAGTCCTCGTGTGTGAAACGGTATTGCACCCGGCTAGCTATTTATGACTAGGTCAAGCTGTGGAGCGATCTGCTTCTGCAGGAGCAACTTAATTTTGTGGAACGTGTTTGACTCCTCGTTTGTTCGTCATTCATTTCAACCGACGCAGTGACTTGGTTGCGGTGAGTTTTGAAGAGTTCTTTTTGGAGTTGGTGGCGAAGCGAACTAGTCTTTATTTAGCGAGATTTGACGTTGAACAGCAAGTGAATCAGAGAGGAGTTTGCCTATTGACGCGAACATTTGCTTCGGAGATAGGAAATTTAATCGACCCCGAACATGCTCCCGCTTCGACCGAGCAAGTCATTAATCGAGGTACCGCGAAAGCTATCATGAATCTCTCTAAACGAGAAAGATGTAGACCCGATGTGTTCTTTCTCTTTTACATCTCGGGAAACGAGCTCCCATGGGAGCGCTTTTCCGATCGAGTTCCTCGGAAAGGTACATAAGTTTCGGCGAAGAGGCAAAGTTTGATTTGATGTTTTCCCCTAGCTGCAATGCGCTTCTTTTAGCATTCAATGTTAGTCGCTCTCACGAAAATGCCAAAATATTATAAATAGATAAAAAAAAAATGGTAGGACCACGAAAAATTGGTGCGACCGCGAGATTGGGAGGACCAGGACCCTTCTCCTCCTTAATCTTGCACTTCACGCCGAGCATTTTCCGGGAAAACGACCCGAAAATTTTGAACAAGCCAAGAAAACGTCTTCCACTTGAACCGTTCGCAAGACGCTTTCAATGACCAGCCCACCCCGCATTTTTTTTTTCTCTTAAAACAAAATTACAAAATAAAACTATGTAATTTCTTTTTCCGTGCACAAACCCACCATTTTTTAAGGCTTCATCTGAACTTTTGGACGTAAAATTCGGAGGTATTCTCTGGAAAGAGAAGAGAAAAACTTTATCCTCAATTGGAAGGTTGGTCGTACAGTCACCGACATGTTAAAATAAGGAAGGTTGTCCTGTTAGTCTGCCAGTTGTATACACCTGGACAGGCTGGGGCTGTCCCAGTCCTAAGCAATTCCCCTGTTGTGGTGAGGTACCCTCGATAATCACCGTCAATTATCCATGGTAGGCTCCTGATCTACTGAGGTCACGACCTTGTGGAAAAAATAGAATCTCCACAATCTCTTTCTTTTTTTTCTTTTTTTTTGAATAAGTAAGTGCCAAAACATTATTATTATTCTTACATGCAAATCGAAAGGAATAGAAAAAAGAAAAAACAGAACAAGAAAATCTCTGTCCGAGATTCGCATGGAAATAATATGGTCTTGGAGCGCCTGCGTCCCACGTGCCGCTTACCTGCTCCGAATGTCGGTCTCGCACCGGCGTGGGGTCATCTATTTCCTCGTCTCGCGCCTAATCCCCCCCCACTCCCACACAAACGGACGGTCCCGATCGACTTTGCGTGCGTTGACTTTTCCGGCGAGGACGACCCCCCCGCCCCTCGCGCCCCAACCCCGTAGACCCGGGCTCTCCACTACGGGTTCAACACGTACAAATCCCGCTCTCCGTTCAAAGTCTCCGGTTGGGGGGGGGGGGGGGGCAGACCCTTTTCTCGATTCCCTTTCCTCTTTTCTTTTCGTCCCTTTGCTCGCTCGCTAGACACCAGTTGGAAAGGGGGGCACAACGCGATTATGCCCGCGTAATGACGGATTCTTTCCTCGCTTTGACCTTGGGAAACAGTTAGTATGTTGTCGGCGGGTTTGCGTGGGGGGGACGACGGGGTCGTCGAATTTGAGACCGGTTTGTTGATGAGTCGGTGATGCCAAAGTGGGCCTGGCTTAGCCTGTATGGTTCGATGTCTCCGCGCATCGTGCCCGGGTTCGAATCACGCTGCCGGCGGTCTGTCCGCTATAAGACCTTTTAGGCGTGTGGCATGGCCCGAGCCGAGGCATGGGCTAACCTCCCCTCCCTCCCAAACTTCTTCCTACCAAAAAATAATATAATAGGTCGATGTTCAGTCCAAAGAGAGAGAGAGAGAGAGAGAGTGGTGAGATTGGCGCAGGAGTCATCGTGATGCACATCATCGTCACCCAAGTGTGCTTACAAGGATCGGGGCGGGGCGGGGGCCACACGAGGTGAATTGGGGGAGGCTTTGGTTTCTTATGGAAAGCTTCGCACGCAAAAGATTTCCTTGGGCCTTCTAAATTGGTGTTGAATTCCACGTCTTCTCTATTGAGTAGGTGACGCGAGGAGGGGGGAAATTAGGTCCACTTGGAGCTCAATCGCAGCAATTTTCGATGGCGGGACTTGAGTTACGTGACTTGCGAGTTCTAGAGTTGTGACGATTCTTGAAAGCAATTAGCTCGGCTACATGATTTTGTTGGACTTAGTCCGGTCCTACTGTTACATTCCCCCGCCAAAAACGCTCCTTCTGGTTAGGATATTTTGTCCCACGAATCATGGCGCGGACGCTTATCTTTCAATGTTCGCGGTGGACTTAATCGCGTTCTAATCTAAAGAACCTGATCGCATTGAATTGGACGTCCTTTGATTAGGTGACGGCGATAATGTTGAGAAGAGAGAGAGAGGAGACAGGTTGACGACGGACTAAGCAGAAGATACATGCTATGCTAGGCCATGAGCATGTAAGAGATTCCTTAAATCAACGGGAGGAATTTCATTACCACTCGTAATGTTAACAACGTTGCCCCCAACATATTACATATATGTGACGAAATATTAGATTGGCTACGGGTATAGTAGATAGACGGAATATTCCTTCTCTTTTTGAAAATAAAAAAATCTCTCTTCTCGTCAATTAGCGGCATATACGAATGAAAAATAACGCAATAATATTTCATCATTTCGAACCGATCGACCGTATATGACATAACTATGCATTCCAGGCTACTTCTTGAAATTAGGCAAGACGGCTCTGATATTTTTTATTTTATTTTTGAAACACAGCCCATTTGATTACATCTCTCTCTTTTCTCTTACGTTATTCGTTAAAAGTCTCGACACTGTTCAGGCGTCGTTAGAACATGGTTGGCCGTGGAGATCTTTGTCAAGAACAGGTGACGGCACTCAACCTTCGAAATTTGACTAAATGCCCTTCGCGTTCGTCGGTGTCCTCTTACGTTTACCTACATGAGAACAGGAGCTTCGAAGAAAAGCTCCATGTATTGACCCGAAAATCAATAAGAAAAAGAGACGGCAGTCCCGTGGCCAGAAAGTTGGAAAAAGGAAACCCATGCAAAATACTTTTTTATGTGGCTTGCTTTGACATTTTTTAGCGTAAATTCCACTCTCTCTCTCTCCCCTCCTCCTTCCATCTCATTGCATGCCAATTGCGTAGTTGTGGCCACTAGTCTTCCCAATTCAATCCTTATATATATCGAGCACCGTCTCGTTACGAAAAGATTAAGCCACTCCAAAACCCTACGAGGCTCTACCAAACCGAAACGACGCGCGCGCGCACGCACAGCCCCGATGGCCTCCTCATCCTCTCCATCTTCGTCTTCTTCGTCGAGATCCGGAACCCTCCTGTCGAGGCTCCTGCGCGTTGCCGTCCTGATCCTGCTCCTCACGAGTTCTTGCTCGGCCACCCGCCTCGGGATGGCGTCCCCGGCGTCGTCGCGGATCGCGGTGAATCTGGACAGGCCCCGCTGCCAGGAGGGCGTGACGAGCTTCCGGCACCGGGGCCGGGTCTTCAACTTCTTCCCCAAGGGGTCGACGGTGCCGCCTTCCGGGCCGTCGAAGAGACACAACAGCGTCGTCGACTCCGAGCCCCACGACTGAGGGATCGATCAGCATGGAGGGTGCGTAGGTTTTTGAGCCGCTTCTCTACTTTCTGCTCCCAACTTTTCCATTTTTTTTCGGGGTATAGGATTACTGAAGAGAGGATTCGATTACGGGACGGATCAAGAGCCCAGCAAGAAGAGATCTCCAAGGGGCTGATTGATGATTGATTAATACCTTCTTTTCTTCTTCCTTTTTTCTGGGGCTTTAGCATCGTATGTTTCGAGTTATACTGTACAGGGAAGATGTTCATTTGTTTGTTCTCCAAAAGCATGTCAACAATCCATGACACAATATAGATGAAAGGCTTATTATTCGCCAAGATCAAAATGTTTGATCAAATCTCTCTCTCTCTCTCTCTCTCTCTCTCTCTCTCTCTCTCTCTCTCTCTCTCTCATATCAAAATGTTTGATCAAATCTCTTCCTCTCTCTCTCTCTCTGAAAACGTCGGTGTTGAGAGTTGACTTTGATGGCGTAGAAAATGACAGCCTTCGGATCGTATTTTTCTACAACTGTAGCTTGAAAAAAGCGCCAAATGGCGACCGGAGAAAGTCAAAGTTGAAATCGCGAACAGGGTTCGTTGGGTTGGGACTAGACTAGGGCGGTATAAGCTGGCCCACCCTCTGAGGCGTTAATTCGGCTGAAAGCCTAATTGAGCGTTTGGTAGATTAATCTCATATGTATAGTTTATGATCTTTCCACTTTCTATGGTGTTTCTTTTAGGGGGGGCTTGATTATTAACATTTTGTTGAATAACATAACCCAAAGTCATAACCCGCTTTTAGCGCGATCGCTAATTTAGCGGAACCTAAATTAGTAAAGTCGAACCATATCGAAAATAACCATGAAGTTACCGCACGAATACATGTACGTATCCGTGTGTATGACACATGTATAAGTATTTGTTTATCTAGATTAACATGGATGTATCCACATAATCTTTAGTAGACACAGGAAGTTTTTTGCAGAATAATAGAAAGCTAAGCTTGCGCCAACTGGAGAATTAGAAAATGAATAGTTGAAGTACGCGTGAACGGATTAACTAACAATTCTGTCAGCTTGTGCATGGAATCATTTAGCTTTCTTGTTCCTTCATATAAACGATAAAGATGCATGCACACGCACTTATCTTAAAAGAAAACGATGAATGTCGATTTTAAGAAAAAAGGTCGAATCATCAGCTTCCTCATGCCTAAACCCTAAATAGAAATTTTGGGATAGGCCTAGAAACTAGAAACGGCAAGAGATTTCGAAACGTCGTTATGTGATTGTGAGCATCGTCTTTTGAGAAAAGTATATGTGATTACGATTGTTAGAAAAACGAATCCCTTAAAGTCGGAGATAACCCTTGTGGGAACTTGTTGTTCGAGGGAAATAGACCCATCAATAATTTTAAATACGGTGATGAAGTGATTTATAATCGTATAAAGAAGTCAAATGATCTAAGTAGAACGAGGAACGTTATGAATTGATGGAATGGTCCTTTGATCTCTAGACTCTAGCGCTGTATTCCGGCACTTTAGCGTGCTCTTCCAAGGCTTACTAGATCTTCCCTAGCTGTTAGGTATGACCTTCGTATTTATACACGAAAAGTGGCGTATAACTTATTTCTTTTTAGTGGACCAAAGAATGTTTGGGCATATAAAGCTCATCACACGAGGAATTCGGAGCGAGGATATATGGGGCCAAATAAATTGGCCCGCAGATTGGGTGACGGTGACAGTGGATCTATAGTCATCTTTATCACACAACCAGCCTTGTCCAGGGAAATTACTAAAAAAACGGTCCTAAATCTATTGCGTTTGTACCAATTCAGTCCTAAACTTTACGACGATTTACCGATTCTATCTTAAACATTTCAATTGTGCCCAATTAAGTCATAAATCTTTTGAAATTGCCAATTTAGTCCTAAACATGTTGATAATTTGCCAATTTAGTGCTCCGGCCAGCCACCTTGCTGGCGCAAAAATTCAAAAAAGAAGAAAGGAAGGAAGAAAATAAAAAACGACGAAGAATAAAAAAATTCTGAAAAATTTGAAAAAATATTTAAAAAATTACAAAAATTGTCCACATCAACGCCGGCCGGCACTGACTAAACTGTCGCGCTAGTAATTTCTAAGTTTGGATCTTCTTGTTCTCTCTATCTCAGTGACTAATGATTCTCCTTACTTAGTAGGGATAATGACACAAACAGTCCCTGAACTTTGACTTAATATGCAATTTGGTCCCTGAACTTTTAATTTATTCAATGTAGTCCCTGAATTTTAACCCAATGTTCAATGTGGTCCATGAACTTTCAATTTGTTCAACTTGGTCCCTGAACTTTTAGTAAATGTTCAATTTAGTCCCCGAACTATATGAAAATATACAATATAGTCCCTGAACTTGAATTAATGGAAGGACTACATTGAATATTTTTATAAAGTTCAAGGACTATATTGAACATGTACCAAAAGTTCAGGGACCACATTAAACAAATTGAAAGTTCAAGGACTATATTGAACATTGGTTTAAAGTTCAGGAATTATATTAAACAAATTAAAAATTTAGCGATCAAATTGTATATTGAGTAAAAATTCATGGACTGTTTGTGTCATTTTCCCTTCTTAGTAAATACATTTCTCTCTCTCTCTCTCTCTCTCTCTCTCTCTCTCTCTCTCTCTCACGCACGCACGCACGTCAAAGTGGCTTATCCTCTTCTCGAAAGTGTCTTCCTCCTCTCTCTCGAGTGCACCGATGTGGCTACTTCTCTGCTCAACCAGATTAGCTACGACTCTCTCTCTCTCTCTCTACCTACAGTCTCCAATCTAAGTCTTGTTTTTATAAGGAGTCTTTATGGATCCATTCTATAGTGTTGGTCCATTCTATGGTGCACGGAAAATAGGTTAATCAAGGAAAATATATTCAATCAATGAAAAAGGTACCTTCAAAATAGGGGAAAACGACTTCCTCTTTTCAAAACAGTAAAAAGGAAATCATTTTCTATACTCTTTTTCTCACCCAACCTAGCACGTTCTCCTCCCCCTCTCGTGTACTTCCTCAAAAGCCAGCTCCTTCACCTTCCTCTTCACCGCCTACTTGCTCCTCATCTCTCCCCACCTTCAGAGTTCCTCTTCCTCCTCCTCCGCCTTTCCGTCAACTTCGTCCTCATCTCTCTTCGCCTCTAGAGTTCGTCCTCCTCCTTCACCTCTCCTCCTCTGGAGTTCCTCCTTCTCCCCCGCCTTCTTGCTCCTCATTTGTAGTGTCGAGCGCAATCGATCGAGCAAAGCTAAATGTATTTGGAAAAGAAAAGAAAAAAAGATAGTAAGGGATGCTAATTAGTTCAACGACTCATTTGAAATAAAAGAAAAAACAAAAACAAAAACGTTCGAATCTTATAACATGACATCACTTCATTGGAGCAAGGACTCTTCTCGACACCAATTATACGTGTATAAATTATGAAAAGAATTTGATGAAATAATCTTAATAATGTTATAATTAAAAAACAAAAGGTGTTCGATTGTTTATGTATATGTATAGAGATCATGACATGGTAGATGGATCAGAAAGCGACTAATGGACTTGACTATCTCAATGGCCCATATATGATTCTCCTAGAGCTAGAGCTTTACCACTTGGCCCTTGACTCGTATAGGCTTTCGACCCAACTTCTGATCCAGCTATTGGGAGGTTCTTTAAGTTGTTTTTTGGCAACACTCTGACCTTCCACTCAACCAATCACGAAATACGAGATGTTACGGACTTTGTTATCTTTGTTTAATAACAATAAAGCAAAATTTCAAATAAGGGCTTGAAGTACCCTCATTTTCTCAAATAAAGACGTGAAATAGATCTTGTTGCAAAATGAGGGCCCGCCATTTTCTCAAATAAGGGTCTGAAGCAGATTTTATTTCAAATAAGGGCATGAAGTGGCTATGTTTGTTTCAAAAAAGGGCATGACTTTTCGGATAAACAATGGCATTTTCGTCTTTTACCTTTTTTTGAATTTTTTTCCCTTTTTTTCTTTTTTCTTTCTTTTTTCCTTTCTCTAATATTTTCTTTCTTCCGGCCACTGGCAAAGCCCAGAAAGGCTGGGCGAGGGCATCACCCAGAAAAGGCTGGGCGAGTGCATCGCCCAGCCGATCTGACGAAGGTTGCCTCGCTAGCTGCCTGCGAAAAACGACCTCACCTGGGAGAGGGGTGACTGGTGAGACCCTTGCCCAAGCGAAGCCGGTCCTCGCTTGTGGCTTTCAAGGGCGGCCTCGCCGAGGCGAGACCGGCCTCACCCATGGCCGATGAGGGCGACCCTCCTTAGCCCTTTCCACACTTTGCCAATGGCCAGTCGCCGGCCACTAGCAAAGAAGAAAGAAAAAACCAGAAAAAGGAAAAAAAAGAAAAAATAATTTATAGTTAAAATTATCCAAAAATGCCCGTGACCGGTTGGAATATATAGCCGATCGATCGGTGACTAGCGAGATTAAGTCCTTATTTGAAATTGTCATGGTCACTTCATGCTTTTATTTGAGACTGATAATCACTTCATGCTCTTATATGACACAAGGTCTACTTCCGGCTTTATTTGAGAAAATGAGAGTACTTCAAGCCCATATTTAGATTTTCCCTAACAATTTTGTTGATAGAACTTAGGTGCTCCATAATTAATTAGAGGTTAGCTTAGTAGTGCTCCAAGAGCATCTAAAATATTTTCTCCTATCATCTCATAAATATCTCCTAAAAATGTTAGAGGGTTACTACTAGGAAGAATCATAAACTAGTAAACTTGTAACAAATTTATCTTAAACTAATTTTTAAATCACAAAAAACTCAAAACCAGTACACATAAAATAAATGTATCCCAAACTAATTTTTTGGATCATCAAAACCCTAAACTGGTATAATTGTGACATATTACCCTCCGTTAGTTTCCATCAAATTTACCGTGAAATTACTGAGCTGGATGACACATGACAATAACTCAATTGACATAGCAAGTTCACGTGGAAATTCATATCTGTTTGGAGTAAATTTGTCACAGGTTGATCGATTTTTAGTTTTTAGTGACTCACAAATTAGTTTGGAGTAAATTTGTTACAGGTAGACCAATTTGGGGTTTGTGGTATTAACCCAACGTTAAAAGGAGTGGACACGGATGGGAAGAAAAAAGGGAAAATGACACAAATAGTCCCTGAACTTTGGCTCAATATGCAATTTGGTCCCTAAACTTTTAATTTGTTCAATGTAGTCCATGAACTTTAGCCGAATGTTCAATTTGATCCCTGAACTTTTAATTTGTTCAATGTGGTCCCTGGACTTTTAGTACATATTCAATTTAGTCCCTGAACTATATGAAAATGTTCAAT